TCAGATCCTCATACGTCGAAACCGATGCGAGAGTCCATTATTATTATTATTATTATATAATATAATCAATGTATGCCAAAATCTCTACACAAAAGCTTTCATGTTTCAATATTTTGATTGTACTTCTTCAGGCGATAGTAAGTAACTGGTGATTAGATGATTTTTAAGGAAATTTAAAAACAAATTGTTACCTCTTCTCCGAAAGTTAAAGAATTGAGGGAACATAAGGTCAGAATGAAATATAGACTTCTGGGTATGTCTTGATTAACCAAATAAATGCCAGATCTTCCGCTAAATAAAAAAATATATATGCCCACAGGGTGGAGGTGCGTGAGTTATTTTTTCATATCATGATAAATTGGAACATAGACAGGCCATCGTTGGCGATTGCGGAAAATATTATTAAAAGCAAAGGTTTAACAGTAAAGCGTTTGGTTCAAAATTCCATGAAGTTTACCCGGGTCGAGAGAAACCTGAAGAAGCCCGCATGACACAGCAGCCGAAAAGTTGTAATAAAAGTAACAAAAATAATTAGTTGAAATCTTCATTGGCTTTATCTTGAAACAAAGAATTTAATTTCTTCTTTTCTGATCGCCTCCTTTTTGACGATGGCATTGATGACTAACTGGACCAATTCTTGTATAGAAGAACAACTACCTAAGATTATTATTATTATTATTATTATTATTATTATTATTATTATTATTATTTCCCTTGATTCTTGTTGTATACAGATTTCCTTCTGGGTCCCAACCAGAGACCTAAGGTCAGAAATGGCATCATGACATTTTCCACTGATCATTTTTATAAAAATAAATAAATAAAAACAACTACCTAAGATCATCCACATTTTATTATTATTAATATTATTATTATTTTTATTTTCTTTGATTTCTGGCGTTTACACATTTTTTCCGGGTCCCGCCCAGGGACCTAAGGTTAGAAATGGCGTCATGACACTTTCCACTGACAAACAAAAAAAAAAATTAAATTACATAGATCAAGCCCTTCGTAAGGTGTGGGCTGTACTTGTCAGAACAATTTTTGTATCTCCTTGAGGCATGGACTTCCAGGAGTCCCTTCAATTAGTCTACTGCAATCTTTTCCAACCAGTCCTAGGGCTCCAACTACAACAGGGATTGTTGATGTTCCCATTATTATTATTATTATTATTATTATTATTTCATTTGATTTCTGTTGTATACACATTTCCTTCCGGGTCCCAACCAGAAATCTAAGGGCAGAAATGAATTCATGACATTTCCACTGGTCATTTTTGTAAAAAAAACAAAAAAAAAACAAACTTAAAACATACACATTTTATGAAATAAATCTCTTCGTAAGGTGTAGGCTGTACTTGTGAGTACTTTTTTTTTCTATTTCTTTAAGGCATCGGCATCTAAGAATCCATTCGGAAAATCTATCTGAACCTTTGCCAATTAATCCGTGAGTTCCAACTACATCACTGATGTCTTCATGTGCCATATTTTGGAGATTTCCACTTCAAGATCATTGTATTTTGATAGTTTTTCTTTAAATATCTTCAAACATACATTACAATCTGCGGGTTCTACCATGTCAATAAGAAAGCACATTCTGTTTAAAGTTTTATTCTTCGTATTATTATTATTTTCTTTGATTTCTGGCGTTTACACATTTCTTTCCGGGTCCCGCCCAGGGACCTAAGGTTAGAAATGGCATCATGACACTTTCCACTGACAAAAAATATATATATATTACATAGATAAAGCCCTTCGTAAAGTGTGGGCTGTACTTGTCAGAACAATTTTTTGTATCTCCTTGAGACATGGACTTCCAGGAATCCCTTCAATTGGTCTACTGAAATATTATTATTATTATTATTATTATTTCCTTTGATTTCAGGAGGCACGGTGGAGTAATGGATAGCGGCTTGGATTGAGGTATCGGAGAGCCGCGTTCGAATTCCAGTCGAATCTATTACATTCACTTACGTGCTAACAGCCTTGGGAAATGTGTGAATCCTCTTCTTCTCCCTCCAGCTATGGGTAAATAGCAGGACAGACTGGGTTCTATGACCTTGGATGGCAACTGGTCTAGGAGAAGGAAAACTCTGAATTCAAACCTGCTCTTAGAGGAGAGTGAATGGAGTCTCTCTGAGCCTTGGTTGGCAATCCATTTAGTGTTGGTGTCACGATAAAAACACCCTTGATAGCCCTAGCCAAGCATCAAGAATTCAGCTATTTGACAAGATTATGAACTACACCAATCAAAGTATTGGTGAGTTCAATCTCGGCTGTGGCCGTTTATTAAAAAAAGGTCAGAAATGGCATCATGACATTTTCCACTGATCATTTTTGTAAAATTAAAGAAATAAATAAAAACAACTACTTAAGATCCCCCACATTTTACATAAAGCTCTTCGTAATGTATGAGCTGTACTTGTAAGTACAATTCGTTGTATTTATTTAAGACATTGTCTACAAGGGATCCTTCATCGAGTCTATCTGAACCTTTTCCA